TTAAAGTACATTAAAGTACGTTAAAGTACTTCAAAGTACTTTAAAGTACCTCAAAGTACTTCAAAGTACTTTAAAGTACCTCAAAGTACTTCAAAGTACTTTAAAGTACATTAAAGTAGTTTAAAGTACATTAAAAGTACATTAAAGTATCTTAAAATTGGGATGTCATTTTCCTGCTGATTTAATATAAATTTAAATTATGAGTAATTAATATTAAATTTAACTCGTTTGCTTTTTATAATTTATTAGATACAAATTAAATTATACTATTGTTTAAAGGTATCTAGGGATATTTTCTATAACTTTTCATGTGCTATCTAGAGGCAGTCTTCCTATCTCTTTGAGGACTATCCAGGAGTAATCCTCATAACTCTTCAAGGCCTATATTATAAGGGAACCCATAGGTCCTCAAGCCCTACACTATAGAGGTACTCTTAGATCCTCAAGCCCTATGCTATAAGGGAACCCTTAGTCCTCAAATGCTATACTATAGAGGCACCCTTAGATCCTCAACAGCCATACTATAAGAGAACCCTTAGCAAGGACGCAACGGTGGCGATCATTCACCGGTATACCGTCACCCTTTCACCAGTCCAAACCGATAACCTTAGGTACGTTTCCCAGCCTAACTACGATAACCGTAGGTACGGTTACCGGCCCATCTACGATAACAGTAGGTACGGGTACCGGTCCAACTAAGATAACAGTAAGTACGGTTATAAGTCCAAGCCCGTTTTCACGAAGGAAAGACTTTTTTAAGAAAATAACGATTTTCTATAAAGGTTGACGAAAGTAAACCGGGGTCGAAGAATCCGAATTTGAGGTTATTTTTTCGATCTGAGTTTTCATTGGTTAGGAAATGGGCCAATCAGAAACGAGCTTTTTTATATTAACAGTTTTCGACCTTTTAATTAAAACTTTGCAATAGGTTATCGATATCCAGGAATCCGAATCTGAAGTCAGTTATTCTGTGTGAGCTTTCATTAGTCAGCAAATGGGCCAATCAGAAACCAGCTTTTTTCCCTCGACTGAAGGGACGATGATATGAAATATATAAAGCTTGACAGACTCATAGCGAACGCCGAAAATATTTAATTGGCTGAACTGCCTGCCTGAGGAAACTTCATATATATTTGATATTATGGAGATTATCGAAGCTATAATCACGCAAACACGTCTGACTGCGTTACTATCCGAATGATTGCGAGGTCACAAACTCATTTTATTTTATATGATCCTCCCTCCAGTGGAGGGAAAAAAACTCGTTTCCGATTGGTCCATTTTCTGACTAATGAAAGCTTAGACAGGAAAAATGACTTTGGATTCGGATTCCTGGATATAGATAACCTATTGCAAGGTTTTACCAAAAGGTCGAAAAACGTTAATATAAAAAAGCTCACTTCTGATTGGTCTGTTTTCTAACCAATGAAAGCTCAAATCGAAAAACTGACTTCCAATTCGAATTCCTCGATATCGATAACCTATTGCAAAGTTTTATCAAAAGGTCGAAAAGCTTTAATATTAAAAAGCTCATTTCTGGTTGGTCCATTTTCTGGTCAATGTAAGCTCAAATCGACAAACTGGCTTCAGATTCGAATTCCTGGATATCAATAACCTATTGCAAAGTTTTATCAAAAAGTCGAAAACCCTTAAAATTAAAAAGCTCATTTCTCATTGGTCCATTTTCTGACCAATGGAAGCTCAGATCGAAAAACTAACTTCAAATTCGGATTCTTCGACCCCGATTTGATTTCGTCAACCTTTATAACAAATCGTTATTTTCTTAAAAAACTCTTTCCTTCGTGAAAACGAGCTTGGACTAATAACCGTACTTACTGTTATCTTAGTTAAACCGGTAATCGTACCTACGATTATCGTCACCGTTGCACCCCTAACCCTTAGCTTCTCAAACCCAATACTACAGAGTTATCCTTACGTCTTCAGGGTCTATACTATAACGATAGCCTCAGATCCCCAAGTGCTACACTATGAAGGAACTCTTAGGTCCTCAAGTGCTATACTATAGGTTACAGTAAAAGCCTTGTGGACCTCAGAGTATCCATATAGTACAGCTGTTGACGACCTAAGGGTACCTTTATAATACAGCACTTGAGGGCATAAGGGTATCCCTGTCGTGTATCACGTGAGGACTAAGGGTTCCCTTATAGTATAGGTCTTGAGGACCTAAGGATACCTCTATAGTATGGACCTTGAGGAGTTAAGGGTTCCCTTATAGTGTAACATTTGAGGACCTAAGGATTCCCTTGTAGTATAGGCCTTGAAGACCTAAGAGTATCCCTATAGTATAGCACTTGGAGGTAAGGATTCCCTTATAGTACAGCATTTGAGCACCTATGTGTACTCTTATAGTATAGTATTTGAGGACCTAAGGGTATTTCAATACTATAGACTGTGAGATCCTAGGGGTATTCCTATAGTATAGCTTTTGAGGACCTATGAGTTCTCTTATAATATAGGTCTTGAGGACCTAAGTGTACCGTTTCAGTATAGCTGTTGAGAACCTAAGGGTATCCCTGTAGTGTAGCACTTGAGGACCTATGGGTACCCCTATACAATAGGGTATAAGGGCCTAAGATTCCCCTATAAGATAGAACTTGAGGACCTGCGAGTACCCCCTGAAACATAGGATTTGAAGCCCTAGGGGCAGTTCTATAGGATAGGCATTCGAGAAGGAATAAAAAATGACGCGTACATGAAAATGGAAGAACCGCAAACTTTCTGTTACCAGTTACTTGGTAATGGTAACTCTCTCTGCCCCTAGATAGCCGTTGAAGAGTTATGAAGACTACCCGTAGATAGGCCTTGAAGAGTGATGAAGACTACTCGTGAATAGGCCTTGATGTGTATAAGCACAGTGAAGCATCTTAAAGTAGCTTGAAGTATATTAAAGTACAATAAAGTACTTTGAAGTACATTAGAGTACTTTAAAGTACAGTCAAATACTTCAAAGTACTTTAAAGTACTTTAAAGTACACAGTATGGTGTTTCCTCCTTGGCATTACCTCGACTAGGCCTTGAAGAGGTATTAAGAGTGCCCTAGATAGCCCTTGAAGAAATATCAACACTACCCCTGGATAAGCCCTCAAGAGATATCAATAGTGCTCCTATATTGTCCTTGAAGAGTTATGAAGACTACCTGCGGATGGCCCTTGAAGAGTTACAAAGACTATCCCCAGACAGGCCTGAAAGAGTTATGAAGATTACCTCGAGATAGGCCTTGAAAAGATACTAAGAATACTCCTAGATAGCCCTTGAAGAAATATGAACACTACCCCTGGATAGGCCTTGAAGAGTCATAGAGACTGTCCCTAGATAGCGCTTGAGCAAATGTGGAGAGTACCCTAGACAACCCTTAAAGAGATAGAGAGTATCGCTAGATATGTCTTGAACTATATAAGTACATTAAAGTAGTTTAAAGTACATTAAAGTACTTCAAAGTACTTTAAAGTACATTAAAGTACTTCAAAGTACTTTAAAGTACATTAAAGTACGCTAAAGTACTTTAAAGTACATTAAAGTAGTTTAAAGTACATT